CCAGAGGTTGGGAGTTCAATTCCCCACTGTGCCTCCTGGGAGATGAGCCAGCCTGTGTGGCCTTGGGTGAGCTGCACAGCCACAAGGTGCCCCCAGAAGAAGGGAATGATAAAACGCATCTGAGTACTTTCAGAGAACCCTGAAAAGAGTTGCCATAAGCCAGAATTGACAGGACATGATTATTATCAATAGGGTCTTAAAAGTTAGTGAGACATTTAAGAAGTGGTTTTACCAGTTCTTCACTGTCAGTGAACTTGCACGGCTGAGCAGCAAGTAGAACACAGGCCTCCTGAGTCCTACTGTAGGCTGTCATTCTATCTACTACACCAAGGGCCCCCAACCCCTGGTCCGCAGCCCACTGACAGTCTGTGGGTTTCCCAGGACTGGGCCACAGAGATGGATCTCTGCCCCCCGCATGCACACACAGTGGGTGTATCGCGCTCGTGAGCGCAACACATCCACCCGCAAGTGTGGTGGTGCCCTGGGCATGGAGCCTGACCCCCCCCCAAACTGGTCCGTGGTTCCAAAAAGGGTTGGGGACCACTGTACTACACCACACTGGGTATCTGGAGGCTAACTACCGGCCAGCAAAAATGGATTCTCCATACCTTTCTTGTGGCTAAAAGATTTCCATTGCGGTATTGGAGACATAAATGCCCAGATGACTTTACAGCTCTGTCAACACAGAAACACATGCCATATAGATAGCAATTCTGTATTTTCAAACATTAGGAAGTCTTAGAAGTTTATGTATAGGGCTTTTTAAAAAAAGTATCATTAATATTGTTCTTTCATATATTTCTAGCACTAAAAAAAATTTAAAATATATATGGTCCTTTCCAGTTTCCATGTTTGATTCTATCTTCATAAGCCTCTATGGAATCAGCAGCTCTGCATTATCACTCAGAGAGTCAGGAAAGCTTTCAAACAGTCTGAAAAATTGCTCTTACTGGACACATAACTCATCCAGTTATGGCTGGCATATGATATCTACTGAGTTGGGAGTAACCCTATTAAGTTCTGCAGGATGTACATATTAGTAGAGATATATTGCATTACATTGAATGGCTATTATCCTATGGATGTGGAAGAAAGACACACTGAGAGGCTGGAAAGTACTGAGCTTGAAATGAGAAAACATTCTTGACACCTTTCAGCAGGCAAGACTGTAGGAGAAGCCCAGGAAGATGGTCAGTGGTTCAGAGGCCCATTTCCTGTGGGTGGCTGAAGACTGTGCTGAGCCAGAAATAGCTCTTCTCACACTCCTTCTCTCTCACACACACTCCTCTATCTCTCACACATATATTGAATGGAAATTTCCACCAGAACTTGTGAAATGGAGACTGGGGGAGGCTATATTAATTTCTGAACGAGGAAAGAGAACAGGAGACACAACACTACACCTCAGGTTTAAAAATCTTGGTTTTTAATTTTTATTTTTTAAAGGAGTCCAAAATCTAACTGTTTGGTTTTCCAAACTCTGAGGGCTTTGAAGGTGGGGGCTTGTAAGTCTTATATTTGTGCAGAAAAAGTAAGTGGGCAAGTGCAGCTTTTTTCACACCTGCAGGGCAAAATTTTCCTATGCAGACTCTTTTCTATACAGAAGCACTAAAGCTATTTTGTCCTGCCATTCTATTTATTATTATTTTTAATGAACAATTATTAATCTAAAATATTTTAACCTACTTTTCTCCTTAGGAAGGACCCAGGGTGGCTGACATCATTAAAAGATAATATTTAAAGCGAAAAACTATGTAAAATATTTCTATATACAGTAATACGTATACAAATACAAATTTTAATATTTGTAAACAATAAGTGTACAACATTTTAACAGATATTAAAAAGGAACAAATACCATTATGAGAAACAGAAAACAAAAACAATACATAAAATATAGTCAAAGCAGTAATGCATATTCATCCATTGATTGATTTGATTTGATTTGATTTGAAGATCCCATTCAGGCAGCCAATCACTGTTCAAGTTATAGTGTGTTTTCTTCCCGTAACGACAGGGACCAGCAATAGAGAGGCAAGCCACTTTTCACAGGGATGGGGTGGGTGGGGTTGCCTCTCTTCATCTTAGCTCTGGCACCACTTATGAATGGCTATCCCTTTTTTGTTACGTGCTGTTGGGCTGCTTGCAACGCACAGTTACTCTCACAGAGGTTCCCAGATATGTGAAATGTTCAAGGAATGGTGAACCAATGCTCCCCTCATGAGAAGAGCTGAGAGTTATTTATTTATTTATTTATTTATTTATTTATTCATTCATTCATTCATTCATTCATTCATTCATTCATTTATACCCCGCCCACCTAGACCGAAGTCTACTCTGGGCGGCTAAGTATGGGCATGCATCGGATGAGATCTGCTGGGATAAGTGACAGATGGGTGTTGTTCATCTGTACTGCTAGATGCTGATTGGTTGGTGAGAATGAATAGGCAATGAGGAGTGGCAGAGTTTTATTAAAGAAGACGGGGAAGAGATAACCATTGTATGTCAAATCAGTAGACCAACCTGATATTTTGCATGGGAGAAGTGCCAAATCGCCTAGAGCTCGGTAAGCGCTGACAGAATGCAGTGGACCGTCGACTTACAGATGGCTCAACTTGCAGACTTTTCGAGTTACAGACTTCTCTGGCCGCAAAATTTAGGTTCGACTTGCAGCCGGAGAATCGACCTACAGACCAGGCAAAAAAGAAAATGGAACAAAAATGGAACAAAAACGGCCGGTTACGGATTAATCAGTTTTCAATGCATTGTAGGTCAATGGAGACTTGACCTACAGACTTTTCGACCTGCAGCCACAGTTCCAATACGGTTCCACTGTAGCCTATTGCCACCAGCCTGCCTAATGTGATGGCTGGGCCTGGTGCCTGAATACTACACAAGCTCCAGTTAGTCCAGAACCTCTTGCCAACAGTGGTTAGCCAGATCCAGAGTCTCAGGAACCAGGTATGAAAGCAAACACACCCCTTTGGTTGTTCATTCCTCAACATCTGGCATTCAAGAGCACAAGGAAGGTTTCTTTCTTTTATTTATATTCCCCCTTTATCCCCATAAAGAACTGTGAGAGGAGTGACCCAACTCCACAAACAGACTTTGGCCAACTTAACCACAGTGACAAGAACTCAAGGCCAGGGCAAGATCTGATTCTTTTTTGGGGGGAGGGGTGCTAATGGAGCTAGCTCAGCCCCCCTCGCCCCAGTGGACTGGCGGGACCAGGCACAGGTGGCACCCTCTCTTTTGCTATACTCTGCTCCTCCGTTGCAATAAAATCAAGTCCGGGCAGTTCCAAGAGCTTGGGATTTATAGAAATCATGAATGAAGAGATGCTTCCAACAGCTGCCACTGCAGGAAAATGGCGGCAGTGCTCACAGGGACTCAATGATGGCTCAAAATGGTTTAAAAATGACACAAGCGTCACAGTTAATAATATTGTGAAGTATAACATGAAAAACAAACTAACAGCATTACAGGATTTTAAAAATGCCTTTAAAGCATTTTTGCAACCACTTTAAAAATCCCTAAAGCTAATATATGCAGTGTTCCTTTAAAATGCTACTTATCACTTAAAAGCCTGCCTGAAAAGGAAGGTTTTCTTCTGCTTTCAACTCATCTGTTTATGAATATGCCTTACCCTCTTCAGGCCATCAGGGCTGAATTTAACAGTCAATGCCAGAGTGTGACAGCCAGTTTTAATTGTGTGTGTGTGTCTCTCTCCATCCACTTGCTCCTTGCCATTCTCTTTGCCAACCCCTATGATATCCCCTCCCCCTCTTTATTTAATTGTAAGAAGCTGACTGATGCTTACACTCTATACTGAGTCCTGAGTACTTTTTTCAAGGTGAGAAATGTAATACAGGAAATGCAGACTCTTGACTATTGTCTATATATAACCAAGCAAATCTGTCACTTTTTTTGACCACAAGGTTACCCACATTTTGTTTCCAACTATACATTTCCTTTGTTCCAGAAGGGGCTCTCTCCTCTGTCTTCATAGTGTGATCTTTTTGTCTTTTTTCTGTGCAATTTATTTTCTGAAGACAGTGTCTAACTAGAGATACTTACTAGAGATACAGTACTGTATCCTGTTTTAGGCACATGCAACGGAACTGGCTGAAGAAGACTTTTTTTTTCTCAGCAGAAAAGGAGGAAGAACAAACATGAAATGGATTGACTCAGTAAAAAAAGCCACAGGCTTGACATGGCAAGATCCGAGCTAAGTTGTTAATGACAGGAACATTTTGGAGGCCATTCATTCATGGTATGATCATGAGGCAACATAATGGCGCAAAAGAACAATGTGCTCTCACGCCAGTGGACACTCCATTCATCGGGAGTGGGCCATGGTGTGCCTGTGTGTTTCCCACTGTTTTTGTTTAGCTCTGAAGTTCATTTCCAGTTTAGAATCCAGTCCCACCATTGGGGAAGGGGGTTATGTTTGCTAGATTTCCTGGAAATTTCCAGCATTTCAATTATCTGTGTTTGGAACAATACATGTTTTATGGAAAAGGTGATTGGTGGGGGAGCTACACAAATGGCCTATGGGCCTTGTGTTGTCCACTTCTGGTGTGACATTATTTGGGGCTCTGGAGAACCTGCCATTAGAGGGAAAAGCAGGGAAATCCAATTCTGCCAGACCAATTGTGTGTGCCAAGATCTGCATCCAACCCAGTGTTCTAAACAGTACTGCTTGTTCAGCAGAGTTTGTGCGATCGCTGCAAATCTTTTTAGGTGAGGCTCCCCTACTTTAGAAATAGATTAGCCCACCGTGGATTAGTTTGCAAAGAATAGAGGTGGAAGATACCGTTCCTTAAACATATCTATACTGTGAAGTGTATATGTGCTAAAGGACTTATTACAAAATATATGTTCATTAACTGTTCATTGCATTATGAGCCCATAATTCTCTGATGATACTCATTTTTTATGAGGAAAAATAGGAAATCTCTGTTCCCTGATATCCTTTACCTCTTCCTGTAGCAGAAATTTGTTTTTCAGGTCCTTGAAGGCGGCTGAATTTGTACCGCCTGAGTTGAGAAGTGCTATAATAGCGCTTCCTGAGCATGAACTGCTTTGGTTGGTCAGCTTGATTTATATATGTGCTACACAATCTAGAAGCAGCTGAACTGGCCCCTTCTTGAATGCACACAATCTCTTGGTCTTATTTCCTTCTGCCACCATGGCAAATGAAATTGTCTATGCTGACCTTGGGTTTTCCTCTGAACCCAATTCTGCAAGGTCACTCCGTCCATCTCAAGAAGCAAGTAAGTGTTGTTGTTTTCCAAAAATTTGATTGATGTTTCCAGCAGTGTGAGGGGCATGAATTTAGGACAAATGAAATCTTTGAAGGGTGTCTGATTGTTTTTTGAAATGTTGGACAAAGGCAAGCTGGGATCTAAGCCTTGAGACTCCTCTCATAATCTGTATCGGGGTCCAGAAAACTGAAATAACTCTCTTCTTCAATGAGATATCAAATAATAGAATCATATTACTTTGTATAAAGTTACTGGAAGTGCAGCTGCAATAGCGGAAGAAACAGGTACAGTGAACTTGAAGAATAGTATGTAGAAAAATAGTAACACCTGTGTGCCATCAAGTTAATACTTACTTATGGTAACCCTTTTCAGGGTTTTCTAGATAGGAAGTACTTAGAAGTGGTTTACCATTCCCTTTTTCTGAAGAATTCTGGGCTTGTGCAGCTTGCCCAAGGCCACATAGGCTGGCTCTTCTGGGATGCACAGTGAATATAACTCCTAACCTCTGGCTCCACGATCAGAAATCTTACTCACTGAGCCCTCCAGCCAGAATACAGACACATATCTATCATCTATTTCAGAGAATGTCAGGAGGACCAAGCAGAAAAGCTGTTCACTAATAAAGATAGAAACTAGGACGTGGAGTAAGGTGTAGGGCTGAGAGATATTTTAGCCACAAAGTCTTCAACATGCCTAGCCTTCAGTTTATTTTCATTTTTTTTGCTTCTTTTGCCAGCAGACTCATCCATGCAACATTACAAACTATTTCTGACACTTGCCCGCATTTTCAAAAGTGACTTGCCATGTAGCTTTGGGGTAACTATTCAGATTGTTCATGGAAACATTAAACTGTTGCATTGCACTCTAGAGACTTGCCAATGGATTTCCCGCATTTTCAAAAGTGACTTGCCATGTAACTTTGGGGTAACTATTCAGAAATCAATATCACAGATTGTTCATGGAAACATTAAACTTGTTGCATTGCACTCTAGAGACTTGCCAACGGATTGAAACTATAGGAAGAAATGCTTCCCAAGTTAGAAAGCCATTCAGTAGTTTACAATGAATGATTTCACAGAAATCACCATATAAGCTGTGTTTGATTTTCCATCATCAGCTAGCTGTACAATACGTAGTCTTCTGATAAAAAATGAACAGGCTCCTGTTTTCAGTCCAAGTCTGAAAACAGACTTACGCTACCACAATGAGACACATGCATGAAACATTAATAGGATAAAGTCAGATGTTCGCAGAGAATTTAATGAGTTTGAGTTCATAGTTTATGAACTGTGATCAGTCCAACTTAGATGTAAAGTGTTGCAAATAGGTATACAAGTCTCACTGAAATGAGCAGTGACTGGATTGCTGGAAAGATTTGCCTTTTACTGTATTCTTAAAATGCAGCCAAAAATGAGGATAGTGTTTAAAATAATATAGTGAAAATAAATTGTGGTGCCACTTTTTTTTTCTCCTAAAGAATGGAATTAAGAATTTGAAGTCATCCCGGACAACAGATTTTGGGTGTCAGGAAAAGGCAGGAAATGGTTAGTTATTAGATTTGTTATTATGTTTTTATTCCAGTTTTGTGGGGCAGGATGGGGAGGCACTTATGAGACTTTCCCAAAATCAGAATCACTTGGCTGGCTTTGGCTATTATTCAAATTGACCCATGGGACATTTCTGAAGCAGCAAGATATCTTGGGACAGCCTTGTAATTTGTTAAATTAAAATGATGCATTATTTATATTAATTTTATTTATTTATTGGATTTATACCCTGCCCATCTAGTCGACTGGCTACTCTGGGCAGCTAACAACATATAGTATAAACAATTTAAAATATAAAAAACATTAGTAGACATTATAGATTATATTTATGCAACATTTTCTTATCAGCATCCCTAAAGGGAGATGGGGTCCTTTAGACAGGCTGGGCTCAAGCCATTTAGGACTTAATAGATTAGAGCCATCACTTTGAATTCTGTCCAGAAACAGATTGGCAGCAAATGGAGCTGCTGTAAGAGGGCAGTTGTGTGATCCTTATGTCCAGCCCTAGTTAGCAATCTGGTTCCTGCATTTTGGACCTGCTGAAGTTTTCAGACACTTTCCATAGGCAAACCCATATAGAGTGCATGACACTAATCCAGCTGAGATGTAACTAAGGCATGTGTCACCATGGCCAAATCAGACCTCTTCAGGAATGGACACAGCTCGCACACTAGTGCAAATGCACTTCTGTAATCAGACCTCTTCAGGAATGGACACAGCTTGCACACTAGTGCAAATGCACTTCTGGCCACTGCCAAAACCTGGGAATCCAAGCTCAGAGATGAATCAAGGAGCATCCCCAGGGTGCACACTTGGGTTTTTAGGGGCTGTGTAACCCCATCCAGCACAGGCTGCATCCCTTTTTTCTTGATCTGCCATATGACTGACCAGGAGCACTTCTGTCTTGTCTGGATCAAGTTTCAGTTTATTCAACCTCATCCAGTTCATTATTGACACCAGAAACTGATCTAGAGCTGAAACAGCTTCCCCATATTTAGATAAAAAGGAAATATAGTGTTGGGTGTCATCCACATACTCAAACCCCAAACTCAAACCCCAAACTCCAGACACTCTCAGCAGTTTCATGTACTTGTTGAATAGCAAAGGAAACAAAATGGAACCCCCCGAGGGATCCTGCAGGCCAGCAGCCAGGGTGTCAAACTGGAGTCTTCCAGCACCACCTTCCGAGTTCTCCCATCCAGGAAAGACCAGAACCACCATAAAACAGTGCCTCCAACTCCCATCCTAGAGAGACAGGCCAGAAGGAAACTATGGTCAATGGTACTGAAAGCTGCTGAGAGATCCAGAAGGATAAACAGAGATATACTCCTTGTTGCATAATGTTCCTGAATGTATGGTGCTCAGTCTGATCCTAGGAATAATCACTCTATAAACCATATGTATGTGTGAGGAGGAACCACTTCCCAACAGAAAAGAGGCGGGCCGTCCCCTCCAGCGCCCACAACCAAGGGATATGAGACAGCATATACTGTATACTTACGAACTTAATCCGTTCTGGAAGTCTGTTCGTAAACTGAAACGTTCGTAAGTCGAAACTAAATTTCCCATGGGAAGGCATTGAAAATTAATTAATGCATTCCTATGGGAGGGAAAGGTCAGAAACTTAAAAATAAATAAAAGAAAGCCTTGGTAGCCCCCAAACTGCAGGAAAAAGAGCAGCAAACAGCTAAAAGCCGACACCCAGAAGGGAGCCTGGCAGCCATTTTGTGCTCTTCTCTGCTCCTGCACCCTCCTTTCCCTGCTTAACAGCTGATCGGCTGGCTCTGAAGAGGCTTCTGGAGGCTTGCTCAGCACCTAAAAAGACAGGGGAATAAAGCCCCCCCCCCCCCGCTTTCAGAAGCCTCCCGGGGGCAAGGGAAAAGCAGCAATGTTTCATTTCCAGCTTTATTCCTATGCTGAGACCCACAGTGGCCCAAATGAGAGCAGAGGAGAAAAAATAGCGAGAGGAGGAAGGCGAGAAAGGGGAGGAGCAAAGAGCGGAGGGTTATCTGGGGACAGGGGCTGAGAAGGGAAAAGGAGAAAGAGAGCTAGATTGGGAGACTGAGGGGGCAAAGGAGGAGGAGAAAAATCAAAGAAAGGAAGGATTTGAGGTATAGCTGGGGGAAGCATAACTTGTGGAATGGACGGCACCTGTCTATCCCAAGAAGGAAGACGGGTGGAAGAAGGAGGGGGCCAGGCCAGTGGGGATGCCTCAGCCAGAGATGCCCATGGAGGGAGAGTTGGTATCACCCCATGGCAGCATCCTAGGCCCCAGTCTGAGAAGGCCCACGAGGAAGCCCACGCATCATGAACTCTTTCGTGCTGCCTGAGATAAGGGACAGTTATGTTAAGTGGAAAGAAACTGAGGGACCCGTTGCTCCAACTGAAGTTGCTGTTCATAGTACTCCATGGTTTGAAAACAAAAGCAGTGTTTGCAGAAAAGGACTATCTTCACTTTTTAGAAAACAAAAGGGGGAACGGGGTTTTCCCAAATTTGAACTCACTCAGAGTACGTCATCAGCTAATTGTATCCAAGGCATCTTTAGGACAAACTAGAAAACTGAGTGTCTTCAGAAAAACTCTTGGCAGAGAAACAAGTAGGATTCTGCTGCAGCAGGTTTACAATTGTCTGTTGTTTTTTATTATGATACCTAGTTGGGAAAATATACATCTCTGCTACACCGTTCACTTTTTGTGGCTCTTGTAGACTTTAAAACAGACCTTGATTCCAAAGATAGTGACCCTATCTTTGGAACTAATTAGAATCTTTCTATTTGGATTATAGGATCCCTAGGAGAATTCAAGGATTCGAGGAGAATACTGCCCAATGATTGAGAGTCAACTCTGATAGTGATCTTTCAGATCAAATCCCTATCAAAAAGAGTGCACCAGAGAAGTTTAATAGCTCCTGCTGTGTTTAATGTACATTTAAATGACATAGTCTCCTCCTTATCTAGCCACAAGTTTTCCCCCCATCATATCTAGAGGACAGAAATATTTCAGTATTTTTGTATGTAGCTGACACTATCCTCCTTCCCATACTCAGGTGGAGATGCAAAGACTATTAAGGGCCTTAGGCACTTATTGCAATAGGGAGCACCTCCGGGTTAAGGCCACCAAAACTGAAAAAAATAATTCTGGGGGAAAAGGAGAAAGAAATACAGATGGCAGTTGAACAGGTAATTGATAGATCAATACATGTAAATATATTGAAGTCACATTTAAAAGTTCTGGAACATGGCCGGATCACTTAGAATCTGAAGATCTGTCAACTGAGGTATCCTGAAATACTATGTATGGTATTTCTTCCAGACCAGGTGGAGAAAGGATGATGCCCTTAATAAAGCTTTATAAGGATAAATTCCTTTATGGAGTCCACACTTTGGACTTTCAAATATCACAATATGGGAATCTTTCCAACATAAAATTTTGATAATGGCACTAAAAGTTCCAAGATTCACTTCCAAGGTCATAGTCTGCTCTGAAACTTCATTCTGTTCTCAAATATCACAATATGGGAATCTTTCCAAATAAAATTTTGATAAGGGCACTAGAAGTACCAAGATTCACTTCCAAGGTCATAGCCTGCTTTGAAACTTCATACTGTTTTCTAGGTAGTCTTGCAACCATTTTGTTTTGGCTCAAGATAGTATTTCAGATAGCTTCACCCCTGGTTTTACTGACCTACAAGGAATTGGTAAGGGACTTCTGGGCAGCTAAGATGACTGCACTTATATCTAAGCTGGGTTGTCTTCAGCCTGCCTCCACAGGAGGGGATATGAAACTGCCTGCGAACACACGATTGAATAACTACATGACATGATATTTAGACTACTATGCTATGTGTTGTTGTTGCTGTTTAGTCATTAAGTTGTGTCTGACTCTTCATGACCCCATGGACCAGAGCACACCAGGCCCTCCTGTCTTCCACTGCCTCCCGGAGTTGGGTCAAATTTGTGTTGGTCGCTTCAATGACACTGTCCAACCATCTCGTCCTCTGTCATCCCCTTCTAGCTCCCATTACAAAAGGATATATAAAGGCTTTCCTTTCTTTTAATTTTACAAATTATGGGAATACAGCTAGACAGAATTTGATTAGTTATTTTGCCTTCTTCTGAGTCAACCGAGCTAGACAGAATTTGATTAGTTATTTTGCTTTCTTGTGGTGAGTCAACCACTTTTAAATCCCCACAGATGCCTCTCGGGATTCCCACTGCTTACGCACTGCTCTCTGGATAGGATGGTCTGTGAATATTGTCCTTGTGATCCTTGTGATAGTGCTTCTGGGTAAGTGGAAATCAAGGTATAGTTCTTGATAAATTTGTGTAGCTGGCTAGCATGGCCATCTCAGAGTCACAGGTGTAAAGAATGCTATGTAGGCAAAGAACAAAAAGTAGCCATAGGATACCTATATAGAAACAAGTATCTTGGGTCTATCATACATTTCCTGGATTGCTAAAGAGTTATAAATAAGGCGAATCATCGAATCATGAAATTGGAAGAGGCCTATAAGGCAAATGAGTACAAACCCCTGCTCAGTGCAGAAATATAATTCAAAGGATATCTGCCAGGTGGTTGTCTAAATTTCTCTTGAATGCCTCCAGTGTTGGAGCACTCACCACCTCTTGAAGTTATTGGTTTCATTGTGAGTAGCAATCTCACTTACAGGCAGGTTGGATGTCATGCCAGAGATGGTGAGAACACTGCTGTTCCAAAAGCCACAGATATTTTATCACAAACATCCATCCTGTAGTGATGCACAAAGGTTGAAGATTGGGACCATATTGCAGCTCTACACATTTCTAGAAGAGGAACGCCTTTGAGAAAAGCAGTCAATGCTGACACAGCTGTCGTGGAATGGCCTTGATGGATTGAAGCAACGGCTGCTTGGCTAACTGAAGGAAATGGTGGTGGTCTTACCTGATGGAGATATGAAATGATATAGCAGAAACCGCCCAGTGAGAAAACTGCTGGGTTGAAACTGATGACCCCTTAGCTGGGGTATCATAACAAAAGAAAAAAAAAAGAATCTCAAGGCGGAATGGAATGAAGCATTCCATGAAGAATGAAAGGTCAGAGCTCTACAAACATCCAACATGTGGAGGTCCCTTTACAAAGGAGAATATGAATTTGGAAAAAAGGTAGGGAGGACTACAGGCTGAGACAAGTGGTAGTGAGTATACTTCAGATAGAAAGGCAATATCAGGGTATGCTAGGACTCTGTCACTGAAGAACTGGAGATATGGAGGCTCATGCCCAAGATCTCACCCCCAAACTGGGGCAGATCCAGGTCCCTCAGCCAGGTTCCCATGTGGGGATTTCTCACCCACGCAGACATGCAGGTCATCGCCTGCTGTCCAGCAACCTGTTGGATCCTTCCCAATGCCTGAAAACGCCTTCCAAGTTGTGACAATTGAACATATAAACTAACAACCTAACAAAGTAATACCGTATCAACCTGTGAGCACAGAAAAGTAGTGCAACCAACTAGGGTGGGCGGGCAGGGAGACTCGCCTTTCTTTTTTAACTGTGCTGGTGGACCAGATTGAAAACCCTGTTCCTCAGGTCCACTGGCAAGCTGCCCTACATCCTTTGCCCTGCACCAGCCCAATCAGCATAGGGGGTGGTGTCACTGAGCCAGCGCAGGCTCCCAGGCTCCTTTGCCATTCACCATGTGGTGGCGGCCATCGTTTCTCCCTGGCAGCCGCCAGCAGAACCCAGCAGTCGCTCCGTCATCAACGCACGACCAGGTAAGTCCGTGTCCGAACCATATCATTCTTGATGAAAGTAATTCCAAGCGTCAAAGATGGATGGCCTAAAAGTAGAGTAACTTCTTTGGTGGACACAAGCAATCATTTGGTCTCTTGCAGATTGAAACCTTTGCCCCCTTTCACTACTACTATGTGTATTAACTGTACCTTGTTCAATCTTGTATTTAACATTTGCCCCCACAAAGCAAGGCAGAGAACTGGTTAATTCATGCATCTTGAGGTCTTTGTCATCCTATTTGGTGATTTGTATGTTCAAATTGAAAAAAACTGACAAGTCCTTGAATGCTCTCATCTGTGAACATCCAGTGGAAAAAGAAGCAGTTCGTCCTATGCCTGGTATATTCTCAAAGGATGACGGCTTTAATTTTGTGAGCTTATATTTTATGAACATAATTAATACTTTGGATTTAGCCATTTTAAATGCAGGGGTTCAGGAGGGACTCTTTATGCAGCTTTTCTTGACCTTAAGTTAACATTTTATGCAATTTTGAGAACTAGATTATGGATATTATTACTGCCCTGGTGCTTCGCCCTAGAATCTCCAAAGATCCAGTGCTCTTTCATTTGTTTAGTTCCTTTGTACCAATAACACAGTTTCCAATTTCCACCCAACCTTATAGCTTTTGTTTCTTTCTTTACCGCTGCATTCATATGCTTAGCTACCGTGAGCTCTTACAAGGCCATATCATTCTTGATGAAAGTAATTCCAAGTGTCAAAGATGGATGGCCCAAAGGCAGAGTAACTTCTTTACTGGACACCACTGCATTCATATGCTTAGCTACCGTGAACTCTTACAAGGAAGTGTAGTGTAAAAATTGAATAAATGCTGATAGTGATGATGTAGTAAATGTTGCTTGAAGTCACCTTTTATAATAATGGAAGCAATGCGTGATAATATTAAGTAAATAATAATACAGTATAATTTTAATTGACTTCAGATACACATTAATTTTCTTAATTTGGTAATCACATTAAGTGAATATTTGTACTGGAAGTTTTTCAGATGAGGGAATGTAATCCTGTGGATGGTCCAGATAAAGACCAGGATTGTCAGAGATCCAGCAATGGAAGAGAAGATAATTCATGCCCAGAGACTGTAACTAAGTTGAGGACATTTTTGTGTAAGCCACTTGACAACAGCACCACAGGTAATTTCAGTGTTTTCTCACAGTGATGATGTTTAATTCACATCTTATAGCAGCTTGCTAAAGCTACCTTTTATAAACTGTGATGGCTTATATGAAATGTGTTATCTAGACCTCATGGTCATGGAAACACCGGACAGTCTAGCCACAAACTGAGACAATTCATGTGAATGTCTGCTTATTTAACCTTAGTCTGTTTGTGTAGTAGTAGTAGTAGTAGTAGTAGCAGCAGCAGCAGCAGCAGCAGCAGTAGCAGTTGTGGTTTCTACTTACATAGTGCTACTCTCTGAGTATTTTACAACATACAGTAATTATGCAAGGAACACTTTGCCCCTCAGTTTCACCAACCTCAGAAGGATCAGCGTTACAGCCTATTCTATTCTGAATGCATTTGGGGTGGGGGCAGGATTAAAGCTCTATACAGTGGTGCCTCGCTTAACGACGATAATCCATTCCCAGAAAATCGCTGTTAAGTGAAAATATCGCAAAGCAAAATTTAAAAGCCCATTAGAATGCATTAGGAACCGGCTAATGTGTTCTAATGAGCTAAAAACTCACCATCCAGTGAAGATCCTCCATAGGGGCAGCCATTTTTGGGTGCCTGTCTTGCGAAAAATGGCTCCTAAACACAGTGGGGAGCCATTTTGAGCACCCAGCAGCCATTTTGAAAACCCGACAATCAGCTGTTTTGATCATCGTAATGCGAAGAATCGGTTCCCGAAGTAGGGAACCGATCTTCGCAAAGCGAAAAAATCCCATTTAGACCATCGTTTTTGTTGTAAAGCGGATTTGTCGTAATGCGGGGCAATCGTTAAGCAAGGCACCACTGTAATTCTCCAAGCAGTGAGAAGTCCCTGGAGTGGTACTCTCAGCCTCAGTTTCCATTGGAGGAGAGGGTACTCAAGGTTTATATTATCTCTATTCACCTATGCAAGTCTACCGCTTACATCACTTAGGGAAATCTTTTGGTAGAAACTGACAGGCCTTTTCTGTCCTGAGGGCAAGTGAGTGAGGAAGGATCAAAATGGTATTTTGCATATTAATAAAAAATAATTGTATGCCCTTAAATTAATTCTGACTTTTCAGGGTTTTCTAGGCTGAGCTCAGCCTCAGTTTCCATTGGAGGAGAGGGTACTCAAGGTTTATATTATCTCTATTCACCTATGCAAGTCTACCGCTTACATCACTTAGGGAAATCTTTTGGTAGAAACCGATGAAGGCCTTTTCTGTCCTGAGGGCAAGTGAGTGAGGAAGGATCAAAATGGTATTTTGCATATTAATAAAAAATAATTGTATGCCCTTAAATTAATTCTGACTTTTCAGGGTTTTCTAGGCTGAGTACTCAGAAGGAATTTATAATTTTCTGCAGTTTGGCATTTTGGCTCAGTCCTGCTACTCTTCATCAAAACAAAATAATAAAGCAGTTTTGAGTAAAACCTCTAATGTTACTTCTTCATTCTCTCCCCCCCCCCATTTCTTTAAATACCGTTTCCCTCCCATTTCTTGAAACACCAAAATTCCAAAATTTTGATATTGCTTCATAATCCTGCCACATATGGAAATAAGTACCTACATCCTGTCCACATCTCCATATACTCTGGAGTACTTAGAATCTAGAATTTCTAATTTCACGGGTGTCAAATACCATCCCCAAATCAATTTATAATAATTTTCTTTTTTTCTTACAGGCATGCCTTTTAAAATATTTCTGCTCATATAATAATCCATATCTCAGTACTTATTTCTTTAGCCTGATTTATTACCCATAATGTTTAAAGAGCTCTTCAGTGTTTTTCTACCCCTAACACCACCTTATACATCTTGACCACCATCCCTTTCATTAGCTTGTCCTTTTCTTTCTCTCTTCGAATTATAATCTTGTTAAACTCTGTCATCTCCAGGCATCTCCCATTTTGCTTTTCCCATTCTCTTGTCCAGTGATCTAATTAATCCACATTAATACATGTTATTTAGCATGAAACCAGTAATTAACGTTGCCAAGGAGTTGACTGTACTCCCCCAGTCTTTGGTGCAGTGCCGCTGCACAGTTTCTTACTGGGAGGAGCAGAACCCTGCCTCCTCTATTCATTCATTCATTCATTCATTCATTCATTCATTCATTCATTTAGTGAGCATGCCACTACTCTGGGCAGCTTACAAAAGGAGATTCATTCATTCATTCATTCATTCATTCATTCATTCATTTAGTGAGCATGCCACTACTCTGGGCGGCTTACAAAATATTTTATTATATATTTATATATATATATAAACTCTAAACCACCACCACCCCATAAAATCACCTGTCTGGGGCATAAGATGGCAGACAACAGGCCAATTTTACAAAAGGGTGGTGCTTGGGAAGGCATGGGTAAAAAGCCAGGTTTTAATTTGCTTGTGGAAGTTCAGGAGTATGGGGAGCCAGTCATACCTCCACAGGAAGAGAGTTTCAGAGTGGAGTGGCCACTGCTGAGAAAGTCCAGTTTCTGGTTGATGCCTTTTGGACCTCTCTTGGAGTGGCCACCTGCAACATTAAAGGCTGGGAGGTGCAGGTGGGATGAGAAGGTGACCTGAAGGAGAGGCGATCTGACAGGTAGCAAGGTCCTAAACTGTAAAGGGCTCCTCTATAGAACTCCTTGCAGGTGGGCTAGGGATAGGTTGCCACAACAATGGCACCTCAAATAAGACACTGTGGAATTGGAAAAGGTGCAGAAGAGAGTGACTAAAATGGTGACTGGGCTGGGGCACCTCCCTTATGAGGAAAGGCTACAGTGTTTGGGGCTGTTTAGTCTAGAGAAAAGGTGCCTGAGGGGGGAACATGACTGAGATGTATAAAATTATGCAGGGGGTGGATAAACTGGATAAAGGGAAGCTCTTTTCCCTCTCACTCAATACTAGAACCAGGGGCTTCCTCTCAAATTGAGTGTCGGTGAAGTTAGAAAAGAAAATATTTATTTACCCAGCATGTTGTTAGTCTGTGGAACGCCTTGCCACAGGATGTGGTGATGGCATCTGGCCTAGAAGCCTTTAAAAGGGGATTGGACAGATTCCTGGAGGAAAAGTCCATCACAGGTTACAAGACATGATGGGGATGTATAATCTCCAGGCTTAACAGAAAGGGACCTCCAAATGCCAGAGACAGGGGAAGGGGTCTCGCATGCTCCCAGAGGCATCTGGTGGGGCCCCTGTGAGATACAGGAAGCTGGACTAGATGGGACCCTTGGCCTGATCCAGCAGGGCTCTTCTTACGTTCTTAAGGGTGCTGGATACACATGGTCAAGTGACCCTGAATGTAGGTAGCAAAGGCTCCTTCCTTCTCCAGCCACACTTCCATGGTCCCCACCGGCAGCTGCCAGTCCATTTGTGTGATAATCCTCCCAAGAGGTGCGGCCAAACTCTACTCACACCTGGCTGGTATCTCCTTCCTAATGGGATGTAGGGCAGGGCGGAGTGGGAGGCTGACCTTGTAACCTGGAGGGAGACTGACCATGGGACTTTCACTGGTGTGGTGGCTTGCCTTTGCTCCTTCCTCTGCTGGTGGCTTGTTCAGCACTCGTTCTTGAGCCTTGTGGTGCCAGGCTTGATCCTGATGGACCTGGGCAGCCTCCACCAGTGGCATGAGCAACTTAGCCCAGCAGTTGGTCTCAGGGTCATACCCATGGCATACCATCCTCATCCAACCTTCAACTTATCCAGTACCAGTAGCACCTCCTGAGCCTTACATGCCTTCCAGTTCACAACGTCCAACCAACCAATGTCCAACCTCTCCTATCTCTTCCTCCTCCTCAAGTCCAAGCTCCACCATCGCCACACTGCAGCCTTGAGGGTATCATCCCCATCTCCTTCACCAACTCCCCAGTCCACAGGTGAGCTGTGGATCGGGAATTCAGTCATCACTCTCTGAGAGGTGGGGAACTCACTCTTGCAGGCAGGGGGGGGGGACTCTCTCCAGTCCCATAATTTTCTTATTCTTTGAATCAAATCTTGGAGAAGTTATAATATCAAGAATAAGTCTTAATTAGTTAACTAAATAATAAGATTGCATAACAGGAAGAACTAGCCCACTCTCCTTTTGATGTTGATACCTTATTTTTTAAAAATTTGTCCTGGCTTTTTAATCACCCTTACACAATTTATTAATCACGTTTTGCCATTCTTTTATTTCTACATCCCTTATTGATATTGATAGTATTCAAAATAACAAAATTATCTTTGGCAAAATTTTCATTTTTACACAACAGAATTAAACTAAACCAGGATAGCCTAATCCTCCTATTCCTTTAATGTATTTTTCACTTCTAAAATCAACTTCTCAAAATTTTTATTTTGTAAATCCTGTAAATTTTTTGCGAGTTTTATACCTCAATATTTAATAGCTTTTGTTATATTTATGTTCAATTTCTCTTTTATCAGTGCTTTTTCCTAATTATTGTATTTGTATAGCATCATTTCCAATTTATTTGTAAGCCAGTTACTTCCCCAAATTCTACCAAATGAGCTTTTATATGATCCATAACCCTATGTGGATCCTCTATGAGCAATGTATCATCAGCAAATAAATTAATCTTAGACTTACCTTTTTGTCTGATACTCGCTATTAAATCATCTTCCTTAATAGCATTTGCCAACAGTTCTATAACAAAACCAAATTGGGGAAAGTGTGCATCCTTATCTTATACCTTTACAAGTCTCTTTAATCCACTGTTTGCATCAGAAGGAAATCCAGCATTGGTAGCAATTACTGTATACAATTAAAAGCAATCAGTCCTGTGAATTTTTTTTTTGCAACAGTTCATGGTATTTATTGATACTTCTGCCTTGTTCTGTGAACTGCCAAAAGCAATCAAGGGCATTTTAAACATGGTTCCTATTTTCCTGGCTTGTATTTGAACAGTGAGATTCTTTCTAAACAAACAGATACCAGACTTCCTTTTTAAAAACTGCACAGTGGTGCCTCGCATAGCGAGGTTAATCCGTTCCGGATTAACCTTCGCTATGCTGAAGCAT